GGGGGCTCCTGCACCAGAAAGGCGCCTAGGAGGGCCAAACTCCAGGAGGGGGGAGGGCGGTGGCCCCCTGGGCACCTGGCTCAGCCACGTGCTGGTTTCACCGACAGTAGTGGCCCCTTTCCAGGAGGAAGCTGGCCTCTCTACTGTGCTGTCAGTGCCGCTCTCAGGGCCGGACACAGGCACAGGGGGCTGGCTGGAGCCTGCCCCCGCTGCCGCCCCCGGGGGGAGACGGGCGCCCTGGGAAGCCGCCCGCTGCCGGCTCACCCTGCCCCCCTGGTGCTCAGACCCCTACGTGAAGGTGTGGCTGATGTACAAGGACAAGCGGGTGGAGAAGAAGAAGACGGTGACGATGAAGAGGAACCTGAACCCCATCTTCAACGAGTCCTTCGCCTTCGATGTCCCCACGGAGAAGCTGAGGGAGACCACCATCGTCATCACGGTCATGGACAAGGACAGGCTCAGCCGCAACGACGTCATCGGCAAGGTAGGGGCGAGGCAGGCGGGGGTCTGTCCTCACAAGACGCAGGAGGGGAGGTGGGCGAGCACAGGACCGGGCCCTGGGAGAGGGGGCCACATCGGGTCCGTCCCTGCCCCCTCCGGGCTTCTGAGGATGAGGAGGTTGGACGTGTGGTGCTAAGGCTTGGTCGCCAGGAAGCCAGCTGGAAAGGCAGGGGAGGAAGGCTTGCCCGGGATCCCAAAATGACCTTCGGGGAAAGGACCTCGGAGCAGCGTCCCCCAGGGTCCCATCTGCGGAGGGCGAGCCGCGTGGGGCACGTCCACCTCCCCTGCGTTAGCCGTGGGCAAACCCCTGGCCTCTCTGAGCTTCACTGCTCTCCCTGGAGAAAAATGGAGCGACTGCTCCAGACCCTGCAGCACCCCGGCGTGGTGTGTCCACGTTCTCCTGGTGAAACGCGGCAGCTGCTCCTCACAGATGAGCCGGAAGGTCCCTGCCTGGCCTGGAGGTTTGCCAGGAGGTGCCTCTGTGGCATGACCCTTCCGTTTTCCTACTTTGAAATGGCTCTTCCTGTTCCGTTATGGTTTAGTGTTAGCGTGTGAGCCTGGGAGGCAGGCGGCCTGGGGCCAGGTCCCGGCCCTAACTCGGAACAGTCATCGCCTTCCCGAGCCGCGTTTCCTCCTCTTACAGAGAGTATGGGGTCCCACTGTGCCACAGGCCGGGCGCCCAGGCTCCCAAAGGAAGTGGGCTGGCAGGGCAGGGAGGAGGGGCCTGGCGAGGTAGCTGGTCCCCAGCCTGAGGAGGCCCCTTTGTCCCCATGATCCTAGGCGGCAGGGCCCATGGGGC